CCGTTCAAACTGTGCTTCGAACATTTCTCGTATCGTTAGAAATGAAAGAAGATTCCGGGTGGCCTAATTCAGACGAGACACCCCCAGAAATTACTTCACTTTTGGTAGTGACAATTTGGATCATTTACACTTCGCCAAATTTTATTATTTCACAGAGAAAACAATTCTAGAAATTAGTTTACTTTTGATAGTACCAATTTGGAACGTCTAGACTTCGTCAAATTTGATTATTTCACAGAGAAAATAATTCCACAAATTACTTTACTTTCGATAACAATTTGGACCAACTGCACTACGTCTAATTTTATTATTTCACCGAGAAAAAAATTCCAGAAATTACCTTACTTTCTAAATAACAATTTCGGTCGTCTACACTTGGTCAAATTTCATCTCGCCGAGAAAATAATTCTACGATTTGTATAATTACGAAATTTCAACGCATAAATGTTTGCAGATCTGGTAACGGAGTAGAGAGAGATTATAGGAGAGAAGTAGTGATTTATTCACAGAAAGTGGCTAACACGCGAAAAAGAGAAAGAATGTGGAACTCGTCTAACGGGTGGCCGGAAGAAAGCGGTTCCGTTTTTCGTGGCCGACTTACAAGGAAATTTTTGGGGAACCTTCCGTCCGAGAAAAACGAGAAAGAGGGCAGGCGGTGCGGCGAACCGATTCTGGCAATCGCGGTAGGGGGAAAGGTCTGGGCACATTTCACTAGGAGGAGAAAGTACGTTGCCGAAAGTTGTCGTTTTCAGCTGTCCAGCCAGATCCTACACGGCTAATTCTACTGTCCCAAGTTTGATCATCCTACTCTCGTGTCGAATTCATTACCAATCTCTGTCAATTCTTCTCTCTCCACGGACACAATAAGACACATAAAAAAGACCTCTTTTTTTAAAACAATAAATTGGAACAATCGTGAATTTCCGATGAAAAATTGACGTAGAATATTCGCACAGAAAATCTACCAAATTGGAAAAATTTCAAAGCAGGAAAGCCACAATTTCGATAAGTCAAAAATGGGGAATAAGGACAGTGCGAAATTAGAAACGAAGAGATCGAAGCCGCGGTGAATTAGAAACGCAGAATTTCAACACTAATTTCTATCCATCCAAATTTACAAACTCCTGCAAAATTTACATATCCCACATCTCGACAGATTGAAAGAAAAAAGTGATCCGAGATAAACGCCTGTTGTAAAAAGAAATCGAAAATTAAAAGCGACCCAAAGAAAAAAAAAAGCAGGATCGTTAAATTTTACAACTTGTCACCTGCACACTGATTGATACAATTGGCGAAATACACAAGCGTCCATTGACAGTGTCCAAAAATATCGCGGTGGACAAAAGAGAAAGCAATTGATGTGGCCATCCGAAAGTGGAACAGTCGATACATACTCGTTTTAAAAATAGAATCACGATTCTCACCGTGGACATCAACAATGATTCCTTCTTCTTCTTCTTTCTTTTCTCGCCTCTTCTTTCAATTTCCCTTTTTTACAAGTTCACCCGA